AAGCCCTCCTCGGGATATCAACCCACGCGCGCCCCCCCCCCGTTTGCCTGCGGGGGAAATCTAGGAGGCACCTCGCAGAAACCCGGGAACAGGAGCAGTCCCAGGGGCACTTCTCGGCGCAAAACGCAAATGGGCCTTGGATATCGTCTGGGGGCAAGCGTTCCGCTCAGCCTCAGTGCTCTGGGACATGTCAACGTATAATAAGCTGATTCGTATAAGAGCCCTTGAGGTAAAGGCATCAAGCACAGGCTCCCAGCAAGCATTCTGCACGCGTGCCTCTCTGCTTCCAGGTCGGCTACGCACGTGGTCTCGCCGAGCATCGACGCCGCCGCCATCTTTGCCGCCTCTGGCATCGTCGCCAGCTGCGGCATGGCCACGAGCCCAATTCGGCCGCACGCCCCCGACGCCTCGGACACGATTCCAAAGGCCCTGCGCGGGCCAGACAGCACCAGAGATAGGCTCGACGGACAGGCGGCTTCAACGCGGGATTCCAAGGCTTCGACGCGCAAATCGACGACGCGGCAAGCGCAGTTTCGTGCGTGCTCGAAGCCATTTTAAAGATAATTGCATTTTTTTCGTTCCGCGCAATCACCCAGATGATAGGCGGGGAGTCGCCGTGGATAAGGCCGCCCCCCTCCGCTCCTGCCCCGAGTCAGGAACCCGGATCGGGTCTCGCATCGGGGCCCTCCGCGCGCGCGCCCCCTCCGGCTGCGAACTCGGGGGTGGATGAGCTCGCGGCGTCGCGCTCCGTTCGGGCCGACAGCGCGGGCCGGTCAAACGGAAGGCGCGCCGCCGGCAGCTGCTGCGCCAGGCCAAACGCTCCAGGCGCCTCCAGAGGCACTTCCAGAGGAAAGCCTTTCGCGCGTTCGTCTCGGGCCCCCGTCCCTGCTGCGATCCACGGGTCAGGAATCCACTGCGTGACCAACGGGGAAATCGCGACCCTTCGGAGACAGGCGGCCAGCGCCCTCAGGCCATCATCGACGCCGAGGCGAACGCCCGCGGAGGGGGCCCCGCGCGGCGCGCCAGCGTCGCACTGGTCGTCAAGACCCGCAGGGAGGTTTGGTTGATCCGAGCCCACCTTCTCCGAGGGTGCCTGGACTGGACCACGCAACGGACCGCCGGGGAAGCGGCGTTTACAGAGCCGCCCATGGGGCGAAAAACTCAGGTGACGCACTGTCTCTAGCCCCGCGTCGGCCACGTCTGCACCCCTTGGGCGGAGTAAAGCATGTCTTGATTCGCGTGTTCCCTCGACGGCTTCGGCCAGGAAGTGTCTTGCACCCTCCTGGTCCCTCTTCTGATCATGAAGCTGTGGCGCGCAACGGTGTTGCGACGACTCGAGCGGCAGGCCTGCTCTCGGCTTGTGGCCAGTGATTTGCACGCGGGGACGCCCCCGCCTTCCACTGAAAGCGGCGGCGCCGCTCCCGCGCCCCCCCCCCCGCCCGGCGCTGGATTTGCCGTGCGACATTCGGCCTCAAAAAGCGATGATGGCGACGGATATCACGGCGCCAATCAGGAGGCGGCTAGGTCCAGCAAAGCTGGTCCTCCTGACCCAGCAGCTGAGGCGGCGAGCAGGGATTTCCCGCGCCGCTCGCTCCCCGAGGCACTGCGTCGATGTGGTCCAGCCATCGCTCAGATCGAGCAACTTTACGCACTTTAACAAAGTGGCATGCGATGCTTGTGTTGCAATGCGATCTGGACTCAAGTCAGAGCGGCGGCCAAGGGATATGAGGTGTCTTCTCTCTGTCCAAAGTGCGACCTCGAGCCCGACACGCTGTTCCACGGGCTCTGGAAGAGCGCCTCAGCCCACAAAAGGAGCACATTTTCCTGGACGGAAGCTGCCTCAAGCATGTGGTGCAATCTAGATAAGGCCGGGGGGGCTCCAAGATTTCCGCGGGCGGAACGCGTCGGGGCCGTCTTCACGGCCCTGTCCGGGCTGGGCCCGACGACTCAGGCAGGGGAGATTTCAGTTTTCGCCGGCTGTAAGAGTTAGCAAAGACGGTGATTATCACTTGTATAGCGACTCTGCAAGCGTGGTGGGCGTGGCCGAGCAAACCCCAATGGACCGCGTCTCTGGGCATCGAACCTATGCCGTTTCGACTATCGAAGGTTGTGCGGGCCCCATTGTGCGGGCCCCAGGTCGAAGTGACTAGAGTGGCCGCCCACAAGCAATTAGACGAGAAGGGCATCTCTGAAGAACAAGCTACTTGTCGTTTCGGGAAGCACTTTGCCGACGAAGCGGCAAAGCAAGGAGCCAAAAAACACCCAGAAGCGGACCCTGAGCTTCTTGACAGAGTTTCGGAGTACGTCAGGATCTCGCGTGCCATCTGCAAGGTGGCTGCAAGGATTCTCCCTCTGCGGCCTACGTGTGATGTTGCTGACGTTGCGCGTGAGAAGCCAGCCCCTCGCGCCACCTCCGAGAGGGGTCCTGGTCATCAGTGGGAGTAGACCTCCTTTCACTGGCAATGTACGATTTGTTTGCGGGGAAAGAAAAGAGAGAGCCGCCCTCCCCCAGGCATCTGCAGGGCACCTTCCCGGCTTAATCCGCAACTGCTTCAGGCCAACAGTCACCGCTGTGTGCTCCTCGACTGCACAGACGGCTCTGTTTTGCGTATATGCCTGAAGCGCCACCACTACAGCACACGTCTCCGCATTGTGCATCTCGGCAGCCAAAAGCTAGGGTGGACAGACCTGGCAGTGTCCCAGGAATGTCCCGGGAATGTCCTGGGACCCTCACATGTCGACCGGTTTTCACAACTAGCCGCAGAACAGAACCTTCTCGACAGAGGCGGGGATGCGAGTTATAAGTTGCACTGGTCCGCGACAAAAGTCGACCGCAAAGGAGGGTGTACAACGTGTCAACAATTTGCCACGTGTGACCTAGGATGTACGCTGTTGGAAGCCGGCCGGGCCATCGGCCGTTCGACGCAAGGGCGGGTCGTCTAACTGCAAGTACCGTTGGCGTGTCGCGGCAACGGCCCAGAAAAAACGGTTGCATTGGTGACATGTCTATGCCTCTGGCGTTGACGAATCACTGGCGCCTCGCCCTCAAGCCTCAGAGAAACAACATACCAATGGTGGCCGTTTCAGCCGTCTGTCCTGCATTTGTTTGAACCAGTCACGCGCTAAGTCATCATGCCTGTAGACCACATTCCGAACAGTTTGTCTGTCGAGGCACAGTCGCCATCACATTCACGCTGCTCACCAAACAATTTGTTCACTGAAGGGGTCCTTGCGGACATTCGCACCCTGCGTACAATAAGAGAAGAACATCCGACACGACCGTCTCGGATACTCTGGTCTTGCTCGCGCTTTGGGCCGTGCTGAGGCCCTGAGCCTCCTCGGGATTCCGAGATTGTCCCTACGGGGGCCCCAGGCCTGGAGGGGCCCCAGGCCCGGAGCGAGCCAGAAAAGTGAACTTGAAAAGGCCGTGCTCTGGTTGGCTCTCCAGGGGCCGTCTCGGGGTCCTTTGAAGGTCCTTCGGGCAAGGCGTCCCCAAAAGAAACCCAAAACGGCCCCGAGAGCGACCCATAATGGAGCATCTGAAACGGCAGTTTCAGGTGTTCCACTATGGTCGGCCTTGGGGGCAGTCGCAATGTCTCTTAGAGCCTCCCTGGGGCCTCCTAGGGACTTCTAGATGGCCACGGAAGGAGCCTGGAAGGGGCCCCAGTGAGCCCTGTGAGCGAGCCAGCTTTAGAAACACCCAGTTTAGATGCTCGACTCTGATTGGCCTGAGGGCAGTCTTGAGATCCTTTGAGGCACCCCTGAATGTTTCGGGGGGCCTGAGATGGTTCCAGAAAGGCCCTGGACAGGGCCTGAGAGCGAGCCAGAGTGGAGCATCTGAAACAGCTGTTTCAGACGCTCCACTGTGGTTGGCTCTTGGGGCGGTCTCTGGGCCCCCCTATGGGCCCCTTTGAAGCCGGATCAGGCCCCTACGGTCCGAGAAATCGTGCTGTCTGTACATGTTTCGCTTCAGCAACTGAGTGGGGCTTTCTCCAGTGTAACGCTTGACTGCTGTTGACACACGGCTCAAGCCCACGGGTGGGTCGCGCGCGCAGGCGCGCGGCAATGCTGAGTCAGGGGGGGGGGCATGGTCATTCGAACGCGCACCGTGCATGCAGGCTTTCGCGTGCTGAATGTGCGATCTTCGCTAAGGCGCTCCTAACATGTAGGGTTTACATTGCTGAGCCGCCATGCTCTGTACCCAATGATAAAGGTGTGGGTTCACTGACGGCTCAAGGTTATTTCAGGTGTTCTCCCATTCATCACAAACCACAGGTCTAGATTCTGAGAACCACATTCCAGCAAATCCTCTTCCTCCTCCGCCATCTTCCTTCGACCCTGTTTGTCGATCCTCCTTTCCATGTTGGTTTCTCCCTCTCTCATCCCTGTTCGCGCACTCACGATCTATCGATGTAACCTCGAAGTGCCCCACTCGCTGAAAGAGGCCCCGTATGGACACGACAGAAGTCGATTTGGCCGCAATCCCAGCGCGGAGCGCAGTGCATGCGCGTCCCCCGCAAGGACACATCGTTTTGGCATCGGTCGACGTAATCAAGGCGGTCGCTTGAACCCGAGTGGTTTTCCTACTCCGGTCCATGCCACGGAGGACAAGGAGGAGGAGGAGGAGGAATCCAGCGCAGGTCCAAAGAATCCAGACGTCGTATGTTGACGCATTTGTTCTTCCTCGATCCATGCCGAGGAGGTGGAGGAGGAGGTGGAGGAGGAGGAGGAGGAGGAGGGCGAGGAGGAGGCGCGAACCGAGGTGACTGGGGGGAGGGGCCCTACCAACCCGGGGCGAATGGCAGACGGCGGCGCGACAACGTCGTGCTCTGGCCGAGCACGTCCGGTCCCAGGCTGCCCTCTAGCGCCCGGCAGTCCTGCGGAGGGACAAAACATTCACCGACTCCTGGACCCAAACGTGCCCTCGTCGCATTTTTGGTCATGACACAAACCACGCCGGCAAGGTTTTCGTCGGCTTCGGCCTCTGGGGGCCCCCGCCGGGCCCTGGGTCCCTTAAAAAAAGCGGCTCGGCATGAGAAGCCGGCCCTGGGGAAAGGGTCGAAACTTCTGGGCACCGCGCGTTAAAACAAGGGGAGGCCTAGCGCGTCTGGGCCCAGACCTCTCCCGGGGTGCGTTCTGACCGGAATCTCGAAGAGAACCCCGCCGTGGCGACGAGGGCTCTCCAGGACGAGCAGCGCGGCGTCGGTATCCCCAGACCCCCGACGTCATGATGGTTCAACCGGGTGTTCATCCTGGTCCCGAGGCCTAGTGAGGGCCCCCAAAGGCCGACAATTGTGAAAAACTTCCCGTCGTGAGTTTCTCATGACTCGAGGGTGTCCGGGATCTCGGCCTCCCCCGAAGTCCGGCGTGGGAACATGGCGGGAGATCGCCTCCACCTCGACGTAAACCTTCGGGGCGCGCGGGCTGTCCACAGGAGCATCGGCATAAGCGCACAGGGAGCCCACAAAGGACAGACGCGCCAAACCACGTACACGAGCACGGCCCCCCAATCCGCGAGACCAGCCTCGTGATACGGACGCTCGCGGAAGGCGTACTGTTGAAACCAATGTGGGTTCCGTGTACGTGTACGTCCTTCTTCTGCTCCTGAGCGTAAGCTTTCTGTTGTCCGCGCGAAGTTCTTTGATTGGCGCTGCAGCCTCTGGCGGCGCCTCGTGCGCCGCTCCATGGGCCAGGGAGGGGCCCAGCACCGATCCACGAAATTCGCGCGGACCTCCGAAGGTGTATGAACCCTCAGATCTGACATCGCCAAAAAGTTGCCACATCGCACATAGCACAACCAAAAACACCACTGGAGCCCCGGACCCCCTCTGTCTGCGTCGTTCTTTGAGCCGGACCCATCTGTGAGGATCCCGGGCCCGAAACCGACCGAAAACGCCCGCTGCGAGAAAAAGGCGACGCCTGGATCTGAGGGTTGATGAGGTTCGCGCTTCTTCGAGTCCACCTCGCGGGTCCTGGCTGGGCCCACTCCCATAGGATCGGCGCACCCGCCCTGCCGGCTTGGCCAAGGAGGCACGTGCCCAAGCACCCGGCGGAGAAAGCCGGGACTTCCGGGGGCTCCGCATCGCAAAAGCCTCGACATTGGATCTCTGGGTACACCGACCCCAGGCCCAGGATCGGCCCGGCCAGGATCGGTGAGGTGGACAGGCTCGGGAGAGCAAAAACAATATCAATGACACGCCGCCATGAAAAACCCATCAGCGTGTTACTGTTGAAGGAGCACGGAGCCTTCGGGCAAAAACGAAAAAATAACGCGCTGATGGGCCCCAGAAGACGGCTGTGTCTCCCACTTGACGTCCGCAAACACCTGGCCGAGGGTGTAGGGCCTCGGGGGGGACACGCCGCTGGCCCAGGTGCAGATCTGCGGCCCGATCACGACCCCAACGCCCACTTGTGGACCCAGACGTGCGACGTCTTGATCGTTTCCACACACGGTCCCCAGAAGTCTCGACCCTTTCTCCAGGGCCGGCTTCGTATTCCGAGATATTTTTTGATTGCCCCGAGGGCCCGGCAGGGGGCCCGGAGGCCGAAAATGTGAAACCAAAAACAGAAACAAAAACACAAAAGCCTCGCGTCGTGAAATACGTTGCATGTCTGGGGATCCCACCGCCTGCTCACGGAGGAGGAAAGGATTCTTGTTCCCGGAAAGAACGCGGGCCAAGGGCTCGCTTCATAGATTGTTGTACTGGCCCCTCGACTGGAGGAGGCTAGAGGATGAACTCCCCTAAAAATGCTTTATGACAAACGATGTAGAAAGGGGCTGGCAGATGGTTTTGGATGTTTCAAACAAAGCTCGTGCATGTGCGATTCTGTTCGATAAATAACGAGGTGGAGTACCATTCCTCGTTTGTTGAGGACGTCTCGGGCACAACGCTTGCTCTGAAGAATGTGTTGCGAATGCCTTGAGTGAAACGCTGGCTTTGCAGAAAGCAAAAACTTAGACGCCCTAAGAGTGTGACCCCAGGAGCGCGAACGCGTGGTAATTAGCCAGGCATTCTGGCCTCGGAAATCGCAAGCGCGACGTAAGTTACAAAGGATCATGGTCTCGGGAAGGAGAAAGCGATGTTTTTTTAGGAAACTGTGGGGCGCAAGCGCGCTGCAATTCACTATTGCTGTGGCTTCGCAAACGCGCATGTGCTCCTATGTGCGAGAGACCGTTGCCTCGGGAGCGTGAGTGCGTCGCAATTTACTAAGGAATGTTGCCTCGGGAGCGCATGTTGCCCTTGGCGCAGCGTAAGTTACTAAGGATTGTGGCTTTGGGAACGCGAATCCAGCGTAATATGCTAGGGTCGTGGCTGTGTGAGCGCTGGCGCAACGTAACTTACAATGGACCGTCGCCCCTGGAACACGGACGCAGGCGCGGACGCAAAGTAATTCACTGGTGATCATTGCCCTGGGAGCGCGGACACATACTGTGATCTACAAGGGATCGTGGCCCTCGAAGCTCGGACGCACCGTAAATTACTAGGGTTCGTAGCCCTGGGAGCTCGGACGCAGCGTAGGTTACGAGAGATCCTTGCCATGGGAGCGCGGACGCAGTGTAGTTTACGAGGGATCGTGGGCACCGGAGCTCAGACGCAGCGTAGTTAATAGTTTACAAGGGATCGCGGCCCTGGGAGCGTGGTCTCTCGAAAAGTCCCCTCTCGAGAAGAAGGCGCCCTCTCGAGCAGGGCCTTCACATCAACCCACAATTTCGCACCGTGTACGTACACCCCTTCTGTTTTGTACCGTTTACGTGCACTGCTCCATCTTGCACTGTTTACGCTCAACCCTCCACCTTGTACCGTCGTTTACGTGCAACGTTGCACCGTGTGCCGTTTACGAGCGCCCTTGCACCCAACCCTCGACTTCGAACCGATTGCGAGCAACCCTCTGTGCTGTACCCTGTACGTGCAGCCCAGCCCAGCCTCGGGAGCGCGAGCGCGACGAAATTTGCAAAGACTTGTGGCCCCGGGGGTGCGACAGCAATGTCATTTAGGAGGGAGTGTGACTCCGGGGAGGCGAACGCGTTGTAAGTTACAGTTGGCTGTGACCTCGGGAGGTCGAACCGGACGTAACCAGCGATCGGTGACTCGGGACTGGATCGGATCTTGACTTAGAGTGCCCCGCACGTTTCGACTGCAACCAGCTCTGGGCGAGCTATACGTTCAGGCAGCTCGAGAATGAGATCCATTTGTTTGGAGGGGAGATCGGACACCCCCAACGACAACAGCCTCCGCAAGCGAGCACATCAGAAACAGCGTGAGACAGGCGGGCTGATAGGGGCGGAAATGCGGGCAATGAAAAGATAGAGATAGTGATAACCTGTGCTCAAAACCTCGCAACCTTAAGACCAGTATCAGTTCGGTAAAGAGTCGGATGCCATGGACGACTTGGCCTCCAACGCCATGGAACACAGCACAGTTCAACACAGCATGACACGACACGATTCAACAGAGCACGGACTAATAGCGAGTTGCGCCTGGATCGCGGCCCAGGGGCGCACATCCTTGGCAAGTTGCGAAGAGTCTTGGCCCTGGGTTCTTTTCCTTCGGCAAGCGACGCCATGTGGCTGGCTTCTTCAGGAGGGTGAGCCAGAACGTATTCGGCTCGTCCCAGTCTCTGTTCGTCTTGCCTCGAATCGATCAGGGTCGGTTTGGTACTCGTCTGGGTTCGTATTGTTTCGACTCGCCCCGTCTCAATTCGTCGCGTCTCGGTTCACCGCGTTTCGGTCCGTCCATTGTTAGTGCGTTTCGCCTCGGTTTGGATTCGTTGTCTCTTGGTTCGCCCCGTGTCGGGACTGAATCGAATCTTGAAATCGAGCTGGCTGAGCGCCCCGCACGCTGGCATTGTAACCACCTCTGGGCGAGCTATACGTTCAGGCAAATCGAACTTAAGATCCACATCAGTTCGGTCAGGATTCGGATGCCAAGAACCACCTGATCGACAACGCAATAGAGCACAGCTCAGTTTCACGCGGCACGCTACATCTAAATTCAGCACGGCGCAGCACAGCACAGCCCCCTGGCACGGTACATCGCCACCGATACCTTCAGCATTGCAATGGCCCGTCGCCCAGTCAGGTGTCTTACAAACGCTTCCAAGCCTCCCAGTTCTGGGTTCGTGGGTCAATCATGTTTTCGGCAAAGATGGCCCCATGCACCGAAGCCAGATGTATGAAATCATAGTGGGGAGTCGGCAAGCTGTCCTGCTGCAAGACCGTCATCGTCGCCTCCTCCCGGGTACAACAAAGACACTGGCTCGGAAGAGAAGGGTGGCAGAGGGACGAGAAAGGAGGAGGAGGCGAGGGGAGAGGATAAGCTGGGTGCGCTCGCACTATATCTGACATCCTACCCCTCCTACTCATCCCTTCCTTGCGCGTATGTGTCTCTATCTGCGGATCTGGAACTCACCGAAAGACCCCGTCGTGTTATGCACAATCGGAAAAGGGAAGCTGCGAACATAGTAGGAGGGGGACAATGAGGAGGTGGCGGATGTGCAGGAGGATGAGCAGGAGGAAAAGGAGGAGGATGAGAAAGGAGAAGGACGAGGACGAACAACAGCAGCGGGAACTGGCGTGGAAGGAGCTGGGATGGCAGGAGGACCAGGGGAAGGCGGAGGGAAAGAAGGGGGGTGGGGGTGACAACAATGAGGAAGGACTCGGATCCAGCAAGGTGGACCGCGCTGGGGCGAGAGCGCCATTCTGAACGACGGGGGCAAAGCGTCGATCCGAACATGAGGCCAACGCTGCAGCGGCAGGACACACGTTCCGATTGACAAAATAGGAAAGACCAACAAAATAAACCCTGAGTCAAAAATGATACGCAGAGGGGGCAGGCTACTCCCTGGCCGCCATCTTCGGGGGAGAAAGGAGAGTAGTATTTACATTGAGATCGTGCGAAGGCAGATGCGAAAATGCCCAGCCTCCTGCGTTGCGGATGAGGGAAGTCGGCGACTCCGAAGGGTGCGGTTTGCAAGGAGTGTGGTTTGCAACGCGCATCCTGGGGGAGCAGGCGAGACCTCGACTGAGTTCTCCGCCGCGCCCCGAGGAGGCCCGACGAGGACAACGTGGTGCCCCCCAAGCCACAACCGACGCAGATCGTAAACCACACCCCGGCGGAACCACACGGACACAGATCGCAAACCACCTCGCCGAAGATTGGCGGCGCGCACAGGGGGGTTAGGGGGATGGGGGAAGGCTTCGTAGAAGAAGCCTGCTTCTTGAGGGCGCCGGCCCGACATCTACAGAGAAGGCCCGCGCCTTCTGAGGAGCAGGGGTGCTTCTGGGAAGCCTTCCCCCCCTACCACCCCCCTCTGCGCGTGGCCGAGTCTTCCTCCCCCAGCCAGAGTTCTGGCCCAATTCGGGCACGGCCATGACTGCGCTCGGCGCCGGAGGGCGGTCGGAGCGGCGAGTGCGTGGAGCACGAGGGCTCGAGGGGGCACATCCACGGGCCCCAGATCTGGCCCAGATCGGCGCAACCCCAGACATGCGACCTCTGTGGATCAAAAAACACGACAGGAATCTCTTCGCCGTTTTCGGCTACTGGCGGCCCTCGCCGGGTCACGAGGCCGTAAAATAAAGAGCGGCCCCCGATGAAAAAACCAGGCCCTGGGGAAATGGTCCTCCGGGGACCGCGTGTTCAAAAAATCCAGACCTCGTATGCATCGGACTACAGGTTACGGTCGTACTCTTCGCTGGCACAACAACTCCGGAATTGCACCGCTGGTTTGGATTATACACTATTGCTTCCCGTTCCAGTGCGGATTGACATTACATTGCTGCTCCAACCTTCACTCCTGCGTAAGACTGCGCGGCTGCATACAATGACTGCCACCGTGCTTTCAGCACGTCGTGGAGCGCCACAAGGCCCCTCCAGATGTGCATGTTCATTGGATTGCTTTAAAAAAACAGCTGGAACACCAACTTGCTGGAAATACTGGGCGCACTTACACCGCTCTCGGGCGCTCTCGGTGTTTCTCGCCCGGGCCTCTGGGAAGTCAAGCCCGCCCAAACCGACACCAACGTCACCGCAGAGGCTCCCAAGAAACGCTTAAAAGATTTAGGAGACCGCGGACTCCACCCCAAGGTGGCCCCCGAGACAGCAAGTATGCCCCCCAAGAGGCCCCCAGCAGCCGCTGAGAGGCCACCAGGGATGCCTCAACGAAGGCATAAAATGACAGCGAAGGAAGGAAGGCCCCGATCCAGTCGACGGACCGATGCAGCAGCGATCTACGAGCACCGATCGAGCCCCGAGCGCCGATGGATCGGGCCCCTCTGAGCCCTGTGGCCCCCCGCCAGCGCCCCGCGCGAGGCTCCGCAGCTGCTGCATGCTTTCCTGCCGCCTCCGCCGATTCTGTTCCTCATGGGAGGGCGGAGAGGTGCCAATACCGATGTTCCCTGGAGCTCTCATGGGGCCCTTCATGGCCAGGATTCCAGGGCGGATCCAGCGGTTGCGAGGAGGGCTCCCCCAGAATCAACGCAAAAAAACAGCAACACTCTGGAAAAAAAACAGCGGCATAGGTATGTTCTGTCTCCCCTAGAAGTAAAACTGCATAAGCATAAACTTTCGGAGCTCCGCGCGGCTTTCTTGGATCGGCGCTGGAGAGGGGGGCCTGGCGCCGTGCAAGAAATCCGCGCGGAGCTCCGAAAGTTCATGTATGTGCAGTTGCCCCCCTGTTCGAGATATGTTCTCCCCCCTGGCCTTGACCTTTTTCAGGTAGGCCTCAACGCCGGCGTTCTCGTTGCCCGGCGAGGAGGCTGGCTGCCTCGACGCCTCGATGGCTGGCAGCGACGGGGCCGACTGCGAGGACAGCATCGGGCTGGCCTGGCCAAGGGAGCCGCCAGGGTGGGGGACTGGCTCGGGGGGAGAGCTGGCGGGGCGCACCGGGGCGCACAGGAGGGGGGGGGAGGAGGTTTCTCTGAAGGAGGCTGCTTCTGAGAAGGCGCCGGTCCTACATCGCGCCTTCTAAAAAGCAGCCTCCTACTACGAAGCCTTCCCCCCTCCCCCCAATTACCCCCCCTGCGCGTGGACCTCCAACGCATTGAACAAGTCTCGGCCTCTGGGGACTCCCGCCGGGCCCCGAGACCGTCGAAAATTGACCCAGGATGCCGGTCCCTGGGAAGGGGTCCAGACCTCTGGGGAGCTCTGGGGAGAGCCCAGATCTCCGACGACGTGATGTTGTCGAGCCGGGCGCTTTGTCCGCGGTTTCTGTCTCCGCGGGGCCTGCCCCTGGGCCCCGGGACCATCAGGAATGGATGCGGGGCGAAAAACCGGCCCCTCGGAAGGAGTCGGGGATCTCTGGGGCCGCGCCTTGCAAACATCGGAGCGGCGGACGTCGAGGAACAACGACCTGGGGGGTCTCTGGAGATCTCTGGAGAAACGGCCGGACCTGGAACAGAAGAACCTCCTTCAAGAACATGGGACCCTCCGCCAGCCAAGCTGAAGGACGCTCGAGGGTATGTCCTCCCCCCGAGGGTGCACCAGAACACTCCGCAAGCACGAGGAACACCAGGGCACACCCTCCCCGGGCCGATCTCGATCTTACACCTCGGCCCGAGCGTACGCCTCCAGGTGTCCCTGGAGGGCTCGAGAGGCCCCCAGGAGTGCTCCGCCGGCCGCCAGAGGGCCACAGAAAAGACCAAGAGCCCTCCACGGCCCACGAGCCTCGAGCTTAGAGCCTCGGGCCTCGAGCCTCCCCCCGCCCCTGGATGAGAGGGGGCACAAGTGAGACGAAGCCAGGACGAGGAGATCTGAGATCCGGCGGCTCCAGAGGATGTCTCGGGCGCCGCGGCCTTCTCGGAGCGTTCCGGGAGACTCTGAGAGCGTTCCAGAACGTCCTGGGACGGCTCTATCCTCGTCCTGGCCCCGTCCGAAAAAAAGGGAGGGGGAGGACTGGCTAGCGTGTGAAACAGTTGCCTGGCAATGACAGTGCATCGCGGATTGCTCTGCGCTGGGCTCCCAAGGGGGAGCCCGCGCGTTCCTGGACAGGCTGGGGCACCCAGGGCCCCGATCGGCGAGGCGTGTGCGAGCGGGGGTCGGGGCGTCCCCCTGAGCCCTTCATCCGCAGCCCGCCTCGGCGCCTCTGACGGATCGGATCGGAGCTTGCATCTGATCGGGCTGCATCGGCACGGAGTCGAGATCGAATCGGAGTGGCCGCGCCAAGATGCACAGCAGCTCCCACGCAGAGCATCGGCCAGCATCAGCCGTCGGAAACTCGGAACCCGTCATCGGATCGGATCGAGAATTGGACGCCGCCCTGCCTTCTGCGGGGCAGCGGGGGGCCCGAACCAGCGGACGGGGGGCGGCATCGGCGCGGCCTGCGTCAGGTATGCCTGCCTGGCGGGGGAGCAGACATCCAGCGTCGTCGTCGAAGTTGTCGTCGTCGGCGGCGCCGTCGTCAGCGTAGACGGCGGCGTCATCGTCGACGGCGTCGTCCTCGCAGGTCTCGTCGTCGTCGTCGTCCTCCTCCTCCTCCTCCTCCTCCTCCTCCTCCTCCTCCCCTCCTCGTCCTCCTCCTCCTCCTCCTCTCCTCCCCTCCTCCTCCTCCTCCCTCCTCCTCCTCCTCCTCCTCCTCCTCCTCCCTCCTCCTCCTCCTCCCCTCCTCCTCCTCCTCCTCCTCCTCCTCCTCCTCCTCCTCCTCCCTCCTCCTCCTCCTCCTCCTCCTCCTCTCCTCCTCCCTGTCCCCCATCATCATCATCATCCTCCTCTTCCTCCTCCTCCTCCTCTCCTCCTCCTCCTCCTCCTCCTCCTCCTCCTCCTCCTCCTCCTCCTCCTCCTCCTCCTCCTCCTGCTCCTCGTCCTCGTCCTCCTCCCCCTCCTCCTCGTCGTCGTCGACGTCGTCAGCGTCGCCAGCGTCGTCGGTATCGTCCTCGACGTCGACTTCGTCGGTGTCGTCGACGCCGTCGTCGTGGGCGCCGTTGTCGTCTTCGTCGACGTCGCCGCCGTCGACGTCGATGTCAACGATGTCGACGTCGTCGACGAAGGGGGTAGGTAGCCAGCAGGGAGCAGGGGACGTAGAGGGGAGGCATCCCCACAGTTCCGGAGAGGACGAGGGGGTGGTCCGGCGGCGGCCGCGCGCCACGGGGCGCGCCGGAGCCAGACACCCGGCGCTTCGATTTGTGAGACGTCCGTCGCCTTGAAAGAATCAAGCCGCAGCGCTTCGGCTTCGGTTTCTGTTGGCGGCGCGGCCGAGGGGGTAGGGGGAGGGGGGAAGGCTTCTTTGAAGGAGGCTGCTTCTTAGAGGGTGCTGGCCCTACATCTACAGACAAGGCCCGCGCCTTAGAAGCAGGGGGGCTTCCAAGAAGCCTTCCACCCTCCCCCTACCCAACTCTGCGCGTGGCCGGGGCCTCTGGTAGGGGGAGGGGGGGCGGCCTCGGGCCCCAGGGCCGTCAAAGAACGACTCGGGATGAGAAGCTGGCTCTGGTGCAAAGGTTGGGACTTTGGGGGGCCCGGTGTTTTCAAAAAGAGTAAGACATCGGGTGTCCCCATGCTCCTCCAGCGTCGGAACTCGCTCGCCATTCGGGGCCCCTGAGAGCTCGAGCCCTCCTACCCAGGGGCTGCTTTCCATCCCGAGTGGTCTCTCGGCAGCCCGCAGGCCCGAAAAACCAGACCCCAGAGACACAAACTGACGACGAGCCGGCGGGCCCGATTTTTCGAGGCGCCGGGCGGCTGGGACGCCCCCGCCCCCTCCGCAGCGGACCCCAGCCAGCCACGTGGGCCCCTGGGCTTCCGGCGAGGCCCGCGCGCCTGCTCGGCTTGAGGGTCTCCTCCTCCGCCACGGGGTATTTGCGGGGCGCGTGCGGCTCCCACCTGGCAGGGGGCCCCAGACATCGACGCCGACGCGGACGGCGTCGACGACAATGTCGACGATGACGATGTCGACGTCGACGTCGACGCTGACAGAGTCGACGATGACGACAACGTCGACGATGCCGACGACGTCGACGACGACGCTGACGACGACGACCCTGGCAGAAAAGGCGCAGGGGCCTCGGGGTCCCAGACACCCCACGTCTTGCAAAAACCAGGGCAGATGATTCTCCCCGTTTCTGTGAGCATCGTTTGGCCGATCCCTATCCCCACCGGCGTGGCCTGGGCCCCACTGGCCGATTCAACCCCCTGGATTGGGATATAGGCTGTTCCCATCGGGTTTCGAGGGGCATCCCCAACTGGGGTGCTGGAATGGTGGGGGTCGGGATGGGGATGGGGATGGGGATAGGGATCGGTTAAACGAAACGAAGCTTCTGGCCCCCAGGGGGGTCGGCTCTCGGACACTGGGAGAGGAGGCGGGACTTCCAGGGCCAGTGCTCGCGCGGTGGGCCTCCTTTTTTGTCCCCCAGGGGGGGGGGGGGCTGGGGGGAGCATCTCGCGCCACCTTGAGGCCCCTGGGCGGCCCTCCTGGCCTCGCGGGGGGGGGGGCTCTGGGAGCCAGCCTGGGGCTCCCAGGGAATTATGGGCACCTCGGGCCAGGGGCACTTCTAGCAGTGCCAAGGGGGTCACCACCAAGGAGGCCCGCCACCTCCTCCAGGACACGGGCACAGCTGAACACCCCAGGACCCCACCCATCAAGCACTCCCGAATCAGCCAAAAAACGCACAGCTCGATCATTGATCCTCGATCCTCCATCTTCCCTCCTCCTCCTCCTCCTCCTCCTCCTCCTCCTCCTCCTCCTCCTCCTCCTCCTCCTCCTCCTCCTCCTCCTCCTCCTCCTCTTTCTCCTCCCCCTCCTCCTCCTCCTCCTCCTATTCCTCCTCTCCTCCACCTCCTCCTCCTCCTCCTCCTCCTCCTCTTCCTCCTCCTCCTCCTTCTCCTCCTCCTCCTTCTTCTCCTCCTCCTCCTCCTCGTTATTATCCCTCAGTCTCCCTCCTTCTCCTCCTCCTCCTCCTCCTCCTCCTCCTCCTCCTCCTCCTCCTCCTCCTCCTCCTCCTCCTCCTCCTCCTCCTCCTCCTCCTCATCCCTGTCCCCATCGATCCTCCGAGCCGCCAGACGCTGCACGCTGCATGCAGACTGCAGTGCCACCGTCGCCTGCGGGCAAAACCTGGCGAGTGCCAGATGGCCAGGCCAGCTCCGCGCCCACCTGGTGTGCAAGGCGGCTGCTGTTGATTTGCTCGAAGACGTGACCTTCGCCAAGGTCCTCGCGCACGCGACGTGGCAGGACGTCGTGGAATGGAAAAATCACGGCTTGGCAGCGCGACGGGGATCACGTGGCCGACGCCCTAGCGAAAGCTGGGGCGGCCGAAGGCCATTTGGCCGAAGATGGCCGCGCCTTCCTCTTCGGTTGACTCCATCTTGCGCGGCTGCTCGCCCGATGCACTGGGCGCACGGAGGCCGTGCTGACTGAAGCTGGCACTCGCGACCCTCAAGGCCTTGAGGCCCTCAGCACTATTGAGCCCGAGGTGGAGGCTTTGGTCGGGGTCGAAGGGCGAGGGTTGGGGAGCTCGGTGAGCATCGCACGACGAAACTGCGGTCGCGGGCTCGGCCAAGGGGGGCGAACGCCGGCGCGGCCGCTCGACTGGGCTCGGAGCCCGAGGCGAACGCAGACGAGCCGCCTCCTGTAGGGCCCTGGCGCGGGCGCGGGCGCGGCCTCCTTGCTGCCCAGATCCACAAGTGGCGCTGCCCAGAAGGTGGACCCCCCGGGCGCGTCCTCTTCCAGGTCAGCCTGCACGACCTGCTGGAGTCACGCCACGCGCCCTGGCCGCGGACATGGAGTCTTAGCGCCCTGTCCGCCCAGGGGTGGTGAGCCACCCCCCGAGGGCGCAGAACTCATGCAATCGCGTCAGCCGTGGGACGCACCCGCGCTGGGCATGGGACGTAGCCATCGACGAGGCATGCAGCCCGTCGGAGGCGGTACCGGCGTCCTGCGGTGCAGGCGTACTGGGCCAGCCATGTCGCCTTGAAGGGGCGCAAGGGGTCCCTGCTACCCGATGGGCCGAGCCTCCGCTGGGCCCTCCAGTTCGGTGGGGCGCGCCTTGCCCGAGAGCGGCACTGAGCGATGCCGTACGTACTGGCGTGTGGATTTACCACACGCGGCCAGGCTGTGGAGCTTGGCCGCGAGGCGCAGCGACTGGCCGCGGAGCGGGCCAGCCGGCTCGCCGTCGCGCGTGCCAACGAGGAGGGTTTGTTGTTGTGGCCTCGTCTCGTCCTCCTTCTGGAGTCGCGCACCTCCTCCTGCTCCTCCTACTCCTCCTCCTCCTCCTCATCATCATCATTCTCCTCATCGTTCCCCTCGATCCTTCGCGATCCTCCTCGAGCCTTCTCGATCCTCGATTTCCTGGAGGAAGCGGTGGTGACCCCCCAACTGGCGGCCCCCCTTCCCAGGCATCCGATCTCTTGATTTGTTCAGCCATGTTTGACGGCCCCGGGGCCCGAAAAGAACCCCGAGATGCAAAAAACGCTGAATAACCTTCCGTCATGATTATGCAAAAGGTTGCATGTCTGGGGTTGCGCCTATCTGGGCCAGATCTGGGGCCCGTAGAGGTGCCCCCTCAAAACCCTGGCGAGGGCCACTAAAGGCCGAAAACGAGCCAAAACCTCGCGCCGTGACTTCTTACACGATGTGAGCATGTCTGGGTCGGCGCTGCGCCGCACCCCCGGCGGCGCGGGATCTCGCCATTGTTCTGCCCCGCCGCCCAGCCTGGCTGGGGCCCGCGACACGAGGCTGGAGGACAGCGCCTTGGGCGGCCACACCTCCTCGGAGAGAAGGGGGGGAGCAGGAGCGCGCGGCAGGAGAAGGCGCGGGGGCATCTTCTCTTCTTAATCTTGGGGGGGGGGGGGAGAACGGCCCAGCGATTCTTATGAGGTTCCCTACGCATCACCTCCCTGATCTAAGGGGAGCATCTCGTCTCCCTTGATCTTAGGAGGGGGGGGGGGGGGGGCGACCCCGATGCGTTGCGCTCTGGAAGTCTGCGGCCACAGAGCGCTAAGTGTGAAGCGATGCTCGGCGTGGCCATACAAATGCAAGCGAGAACAAAAGCTGACAAAGGGTGCCCAAAAAATCTCCCTCGCGGCATCGGAGACTGATCAAGACCCTTGATCGGACGGGAGGTGTGGTGACCCAATGCCCGACGGTGTGGGGCTTCGAATGGGCCCGAAATTTGAAGCCAAACTAGGGAATTTGCTAAGAGAGGGGGGGGTGGGCGTCCATCCTCGATAGGGGTGCATCCGAATAGCCCCCCAGGCTCGCGTGTATCCCCAACTTCGCCCCCCCATTTGAACGGCCAATGTTTCGGCCGGAACTGGGGATTGAGGTGCAAAAATCGCCTGCCCAGACATCCAACGTACTAACAAAAATCAGGGCGGAAGTGCTTCATCGTCATCCTCAGACATCCTCATCCTCATCCTAATCCTCATCCTCATCCTCCCTCCCTCCCCCCCTCCCCCCCCCTCCCTCAGGTGATCCTCCTCCTCTCCCCTCCAGACGTCCAACGTACTCACAAAACTCAGGGCGGAAGTGCTTCCTCGTTTGGGGCCTCTGGAGGCCCTCGCTGGGGCCGTCGGAAAACATAATTCGAGATACGACTCGGGATAAAAACAAACACGCCCCTGGGGAGAGGATCGGGACTTCCAGGGATCGCGCATGGAAACATCAAGACGTCATCATCATTATCGGTATCCTCATCATAATCAGCAGCATCAGCATCATCACCACCACCACCATCATCATCATCAGCAGCAGCATCATCATCAGCAGCATCAGCAGCATCGTCATCGTCATCGTCGTCATCATCATCAACATCATTGTCATCAGCAGCAGCATCTTCTTCTTCAACATCATCATCAACAACAACAGCATCATCAGCATCGGTATCATCATCCAAATCATCAGCATCATCATCATCATCATCATCATCAGCAGCAGCATCATCACCATCATCATCATCAGCAGCAGCATCATCATCAGCATGGCCATTCTCAGCAGCATCATCAGCATCATCAGCATCGTCGTGAGCAGCATCATCATACTCATCATCCTCATCAGCAGCATCATCACAATCAGCATCATCAGCATTGTCATCATGATCATCAACGATATCATCGCCCTAGACATGGTCATCACCATGCTGAACATGAGTGGCATGTGCATCAATAGCATCGTCATTGGCATCGTCAGAATCATCCACCTCGTCAACATCATACACAACACATCACCCTCAGCATCAATATCCTCATATCATCATCGTCCTCAACACCGCAATCATCAGCAGCAGCAGTATCGTCACCATCATCAGCATCACCATCATCATTATCATCACCATCATCGCTGCCATCAGTGGACGTAAAGTCATCGTGAGCATCATCATCAATAACAATAGCAACAGCAGCATCATAACAGTCATCAGCATCATTATCGTCATAATCATCCCCATCATTATCATCATCAGCAGCAGCATCATCATAATCAGCAGCATCATCAGCATCATCAGCATCATCAGCATCATCATCGTCAGCATCATCATCAGCATCAGCAGCATCATCATCATCAGCATCATCATCAGCATCATTAGCATCATCACCACTGCATTCACCTGCGCACGAAGCTCCTTCTTATCGAAGACACCGGGCACTATGCGCTCCAGCACCCTCCGGCTCACGTTCCGGAGCACATTCCGCGCCTGCCGCTGCGCCTCCACCACGGCCAGCTCCGCCAGTCTCGGGGGCGGGCGGCCATAGTTCGCCTTGTCCGGCCGGAGGCCCAAAGAGCCCGCATCCCGGCCGAGTTCTAGACCCTCGACCCTCGAGGATCGCGGCAGGGGAAAATCCAGACACACAACGCTTTGAAAAAATGAAGACGGAAGACGCCCGACGCCGTGTCTCATGTCGAGTGTCCGCGTGGGTGTTTCTCGGTAGCAGTTTGATACATGTTGTAACAGTGCCCGATGTGTATGTAGTTGCCACGATGCATGCGTCGCTGGAGATAAATGGGCGCTGCGTTTTGTGCTGAAGCAGAATACGAAATTTGTTTGCCGCTTCTGGCCTTTTGAGGGTCCTCGGAGTGCTCTCGTCTCCGCCTTGGTTCGCGAGCCCCTCTTGGTTCGCGAGCCCATCTCATTCTCTCTCTCACTCTCTCTCTCTCTCTCTCTCTTTCTCTCTCTCTCTCTCTCTCTCTCTCTATTCTCTCTCTCGAAAGGCGCGCCGTCCTGGGCAAGGCCGCCGTCGGGAGTAAGGTGGGACCCAGGGGCGCGCAACGGTGCGGGGACGAAAAAGTGCCAATACCGCTGCTCCCTGGGCCTCTGCAGAGGTGCGCTTTGACCAAGATTTCGGAGCGAATCCAACCGTGGCGACGCAGGAATGGTAGCGGCATCAGGCTTGGTATATTGCGAACGCCTTACGGCCAGTGCCTCCAGCCCTGAGGGGGACGACGACGACGACGACAACGACGACGACGACGATGCTGACGTGGGCCAGAGTCCTCAGGAATGCTTCTCAGGGTCTCTTCGGAAGGCTTTCGGGGGCCTTTGGGGAGGAATGTGTGGGTCTCTTGGGCCTCTGGGGAGCCTCTCGGGGGCCTTCTGGGGCTCAGACTTGGCCTACCTCTTTCTCTCCTGAAGGAGGAAGGAGGAAGGAGGAGGAAGGAGGAGAAAGGAGGAGGAGGAGGAGAAGGAGGAGAAGGAGGAGGAGGAGGGAGGAGGAGGAGGAGGAGGAGGAGGAGGAGGAGGAGGAGGAGGAGGAGGGAGGAGCAGGAGGAGGAAGAGGAGGAGGACAAGGAGGAGGAGGAGGAGGAGGAGGACGAGGAGGGGGGGGGGGGCGCCAGGGGGGAGGAAGAGGAGCAGGAGGAGGAGGAGCAGGAGGAGGAGGAGGAGGAAGAGAAGGAGGAGGAGGAGGACCCGTGTAAACCAAAGAGTCATGAACGATGTTGGAATTAACCCTGCCTCCGAGCTCCCTCTCCACAGGCCCATACAACGGTTCATTTCCATTGAGGGAACTGCCTCGTTGGAAGACAGCCTTGATGACCCTGAAGCATGCCAAAACACTGCTTCCGGGACTTCAACGCAACGGACCAACCTGACTGTTGCGTCTTGACGATCTGGAACCGTGCCAGAACGCTATGTGTGAAACATAACAGAACTGTTGCGCCCGCATAATCCTGAATCCTTCCACGACACCATTTCTGGTACGCTGACCATGGCAATCCGTGAAACTCTTCCAACATGTATGAACAAATATGCGCGGCGCTAGAGTGAGAGCCACATTTTGAAAACGGCCCGCCCTCAATCCGCGAAACGCTTGCAACATTTAAAACGAATGCGCGCGGCGCGAAGGCGAGAGCCACACTTTGAAAACCACCCGCCCTCCATCTGTAAAACTCTTGCAACTGTTTAAAACTATTGTGCGCGGCGCTAACGCGAGGGCCACATTTTGAAAACCACCCGCCCTCAATCCGTGAAACTCTGGTAATGTTTGAAACGAATGCGCGCGGCGCGAAGGCGAGAGCCACATGTTGAAAACCACCCGCCCCCAATCCGTGAAGCTCTCGCAAAATTGTGAAACGGATGTGCGCGGCGCGAAGGCGAGAGCCACACTTTGGAAAACCACCCGCCCTCCATCCGCGAAACTCTTGCAACTTTGCCCTATAGCCCTATAGCCCTATAGCCCTATAGCCCTATAGCCCTATAGCCCTACAACTCTGTAGCCCTATAGCTCAATAGCCCTATAGCCCTATAGCCCCCTAGCCCTATAGCCCTGATCGGGGTTTTTCTCCGGAATTATTTTTCATAAGGAGAAGGAATGGAGGAGGAGGAGGAGAGGAGGAGGAGGAGGAGGAGGAGGAGGAGGAGGAGGAGGAGGGAGGAGGAGGAGGAGGAGGAGGGAGGAGGAGGAGCAGGAGGAGGAGGAGGAGGAGGAGGAGGAGGGAGGAGGAGGAGGAGGAAGGAGGAGGAAGGAGAGAGGAAGGAGGAAGGAGGAGGGGAAGGGGGAGGGAGGAGGGGGCGAGGGGGGCGGCCTCCTCAAAGGGTAAGGGGGCTGCTCCAGAGGCCTCCTCTGGGGAGATGCATCGCCGATGCCTCGACGATGCATCGGCGACGTCGGCGGTGCATCGGCGACGCCGGCGTGGAGGAAACCGGGCTCCACATCGAGCCGCATCGCCGATGCAGGGCGATGCGGCGCGATGCTCTGACCGTATCTGCTCCGACCGCATCTGGGAGGCCCAGATTCTCGGAAGGGGCCGGGGGTCTCCGGCAAGGCTCCGTGGAGGGCCGCCCCCCTCAGATCCTGGGGATCCCCTTGCTGCGAGCCGCCGTGGGGCAGGAGGAGGGGATGCGCCCAGGAGGGGGCCAGGAAGAGGCGGGGTGCGCAGCGTAGCCCGAGGCATGTGGCGGGTTCCAGAAACCCTGGGCCCCCCACAAAGGTAGCCATCTCTTGGGGGCGCATTTTTGCTCCCTGTTTTTCTCACGCTACGCCCTTGAAGAATCACTCGGATGTCTTGCGGCGGACCCGGGAAAAAAACACCCGATGTCTCGGCGCAGCACAAATCTCAGAGTCCTCGAATTGAGCTGGGGCCTGACAGGGGCACGGAGGCAGGAGAGCGGGAACTGCTTCATCAAATTCCGCCCGCACGGTTTTGCTTCCGCCAGCTTCTGCCAGCCTTCCGCCAGCGGAGGAGGCCTCGTTTTACTCCCGCCGCCTTCCGCCGAGGAAGAGATGACAACTCCGTCGATCCTCGAAGGCGAGGCCCTTTCTGGAATGCCTCATGTGCGCAGCCGAGTGGGAGCCAGGGGATGAGTTGAAAGAAGAGGCGGGGGCCATGAAATCTGGGAGATCTCATGGCCCGGCCATGATATCTACCACCCTCCCCGCACACGTCCTCGCCCCCGCCTTCGACGCCCCCGCAAGGAGGAGCGGGGAGGCCGACTTCGAGCTGGCCAACCCACCTTCAGAAGGCTCTCCGGTCTGATCTGCAGGCCGCTCCCATGCTTGCGGGCGGCCCTGGCCAGGGTGCGGCTCGGGCCCAGCGAGGCGGTCGACCTCATGACCATCGTGTCGGCATAGCTGTCCTGGGCGAGGAGCCTTCAAGAGCACCCCAAGGCACCCGGCGTCGGCCCCACAGACATCTCCGTTTGTGCTTCCGAGTCCGATGCGTCTGGGGGCTGCCGCTCTCGGGCCCCGGGACCTGCAAGAGCTCATCCGCGGCGGAAAGACTATCCCGGGGAGAGGGGTCCAGAGCTTCAGGGCCGGCGTCGGTACGAAAACCCCATCAGAGGCCTGGGGCCGCAGCCGCACAAGGGAGTGCATCTGAGAGCTTCCAGAAAGGATCCGTGTGAACACTGACCACATCTGATCACCCACCCACGCAGGGAATGCTCTGAGACCTGGGTTAGCTCTAGGGTGGTTCTGAGGAGCCAACCTGAAGGATCATGTTCAAGGCAAAGTGTCCTTTAGCTTCAGATCTCATCTTGCCCCCGGAACAACTTGCTGCCGTTGAGCCCAAAGTAGACGCAAAACCAATGCCAGGGGATGACTGTGACTGAAGGGCCAACGGGGGCCGAGGTACATCGATTGAGTGGCAACTACGAGTGCCTTGCCGCGGCCGCGCTGGTCACTGTTTGCCCTCCCCCCTTCTCGTGATAGGACGAACACAGGACGAAGACAAGCTCGGACCGCTCCCGAGCTGGAGTCTCACAGAACTGGCGGGTCTGGAGGACGTACGTTGCGCCGCGGCCGATTCAGAGAGACCCACGACGCTCCGGGACTCCGAGAGCGTTCCAGAACACTCTGGAGCGACTCGCCCTCAAGCTGCGGCGGCCTTGCCACCATGAGCAACCCCAAACCAGGACTCAGGGGACTTTTTCTGGCCACGGCAAGCCTGGGTCGCGATAACGCCCACGACCAGCCCCGCCCCTCCCCCTCCCCCCCCTGGTCACTTCACGATTCGCGCTGGCGCCGTGTGGGAACGAGCCTTTCTGAGGCATTCTTCCCAGACCGCGCCGGCGCGAATCCCGACATGACCGGCCCCCTCCCCATCCCCACCGGTCACTCCCGCGATCGCCAGGTGTGCTTCAAAAACTGTCCCCGGGCTCCCCGACCTGGATCTCAGGAGTGGCCCGAAGACCAGAGCCCCATCCTGAGTCGAACGCGGTCCTTTGTTCAATCGCTTGGCTCATTCCGCCGGCCCATGTTGCATCACTGTGGCTCGATTACTCGTGGCGAGCAAGGAGGAGGAGGAGGAGGAGGAGGAGGAGGAGGAGGAGGGGGAGGAGAAGGGTAACAGAGAGCATGACGACCCCAATCCCAAACTTTGAAGGGTTTTCGGTTGGACGCAAAGTTTCGGGCCCAACTCGGGGATACATGAGAGGGGCGTCCATCCTCGATAGGGGTGCCTCCAAATAGCCCCCTGGAGGCATCCCCGACGTGATTCTTCAGAGGGGCAGCTCGGAGATCGGGGACAAACAGCTCGCCTCCGACGGGAAGCCTCTCCATGGCCTCATAGGGCCACTCCCGGGGCCCAAGCGGCCCTGCATCTCAGCGCCTCGGGCACGGGGGCCCTGCCCGGAGCGGGGCTCTGCGGCCACCCCCGCCCCTCAGGGGGCACCGCCACGGGGCGCCACCTCACCAGGGCAGCAGGCCCCCCCCCCCCCCCCCTCCCACCCCCAGATCCCCCCCCCCCCTCCCAGGGCGGGCAGCAGCCCGCCCCCCCATGCGCCCCGCCATGAAGTAGCGCCCGAAAGCTCTCCGGACTGCGATCCAGCCCCACTGACTCTCGGGACCTTCTGGTGCGCGTGCGCGCCACCCCCGCCTTCCAAGTATGGGTTTCTCTAGATCCCCTAGAAGCGAGGAGCACGGCGTAGAGAACGAGGTCGTCAGCCATGCCGAAGCCCTCACGCACGAGGGAGAGGCGGCAAGCCTCCTTCTGTAGTGGCCGAAGCGCCGTTAGCCGTGGCAGCGGCGCAAAATGCGCGAGGGAGGGAAGCAGGAAAGACCGCACACCCAGACACGAGGAGGAGGAGGAGGAGGAGGAGGAGGAGGAGGAGTTGCGACAACCCCCTTGAGAGCGCCGCCAGCCAAGACAGCTGTCGCCCTAGTTTCAATGCGGGGCCCCTGGAAATCCCGATCCTTCCTTGAGCAGGGCGGGATCTTGAATCATGAGTCGTGCTTGACGTCCCCAAGGCCTGGCGAGTGCCCCTGGAGGCCGACAACCGACAACGACGAAGAACATCCGCCTCGCTTTTTGTCCGAAACGTTGGGTGTCCGGGTAACTGGACGCGGGCAAAAAGGAGCAAGTACAACGTCCAACAGCAACTGCTGTCCAACACCAACAGCGGCCGCTGCGGGACCAGCCAACATCGAATTGGGAAAGCGGATCGAAGCGAATTGTGCGTCCAATCGGGCTGCAACTGCACGGAATCGAAATCGAATCGGATCAGCCGCGCCGGGATGCACAACAGCGCCATGCAGGCATCGGGCCGTAATTATCGGCTCGCTGGAGCATCGCCATGGCATCGGCAGGGCGACATGGAGCGAGGGACGGGGCCCCGGACATCCGCTGCCTTGAGCTGTCCACTGTGGCGCCTCCAGAGCAGACCCTTCCCCCCCTGGGGCCAGCCCTTCACCCCGAGCCGCTGCTTGACGGCCCCGGGGCCCTGCGAAGGCCCCCGGAGGCCGCAGACGGCCAGGAGCCTCGGGCCGTGGCCGTCGAACGGCGCGGAGCTGTTTGGGCGGGGGCCGAGGGACCGAGCGCCCTCCCCAGCCTGCTGGGGCGACCCCTGAGCTCCGACGTCGCGAAGAGAAAAAGACAGCGCCCAGAAGATCACGGCTGGAGCCCCGGAGCCCATCTTCCTGCGCCACTCTTCGAGCTGCACCGATCCGAGAGGGTCCCGGAGCCCGAAGCCGGGCGAGAACGACCAGCTCGAGCTGGTCGGCAGCTCCATTTTGTCGATCGAAAAAATGGGACCGTCGGAATCTCGAGGGAGGGGACCGTCCTCCGAGACGCTCAGGCTGGTCGCCACGCTCTCGCTGTCGCCGAGCGAGCTCTGCGGCCGCTGCGGCCGCGCCGCTGCGGGGGACGCGAACTCCTGGGGCGCGCGGCCGGCGGGCGGGCCCGAGCCCGCAGCTGCCCCCCCCCGTTGGGAGGCAGCTCCCGCGGGAGGCCTCCGCGGGGGCGGCGGTCGGGAACGTTTGGACGGCCTGTCGCCGCGGGGGCCCCCCGGCGACACGCCGCGCTCTGCTTCCGCACAGCGTGCCGCTCCGCTCCGCCGGGCGGGAGGCTCGGAGAAAAGCTCGGGGCGTGGGCGCCTCGGGGCCGCGGAGCGGCTTGCGGTGGCGCACCGAGGCGCGGTGGGCCAGGACCGGCGGCGCGACGCGCTGTCCAGAAGTTCCCGACGGTGGGGGCTATCGAGCTCCTCGCGTCGTGAAGCGAGAGGAACAAGGGAGGTGTTTCGCCGTTTTTGGTATCCAGGGGCCTCGCTGAGCCACGGGGACCCTCACAACGACTTGGGACGGAACGCCAGCCCTGGGGGAAGCCTAACTAGGGTCGGGACTTCTGCGGACCGCGCATTAAAGAAACAAGACATCGCATGGCTTGGGGCAAGTCTTCGTGGGGACGATTTATTAGGCCCGATTCAGGCACAGACCAATCCGAGCTGGGGCCAGATTAGAAGCACTGGATCAAGCCGAATTGGGCCAGACGCAGCGGAATCAAGCAGGACCACACTGGATCTGGCTGGACTGGACCCAGGCTGCTGAGTTTGACCTCCCAGGAGTCGCAACCTGACCATGACATCATCCACCGTCGTCGCGCAAACAAAAAGGGCGGGGGGGTCCCCTCGTTTTCGGCCTCCGGGGGCTCTGGCTGGGGGCCGTCGAAAAGCGGCCCGGCATGGGAAGCTGACCCTCAGGGGAAGGGTCGGGACTTCCAGGGGCCCGTAAAGAAGAAAAAACAGGACATCGGATGCCCAGGGCGACCAACACAGCCCGGCTACTGCACTTTCGTGCCATGACAATCCCAGTGTTGGTTTCTAGCACCACGTGGGTCGTTCAACCGTGAATCATCGGCGGCGTTTCGATCACCAGGCCGTTCCATATAAGCCGATTCTGGGCACTGGCGGCGTTCAATCTTAACGCTCGCGGCAGGGTCGCTGCCGCGTCGACACGACAGCAACCTACCCAGAAATGTCATGTCTTGATTCGTTCTATGCGGGGTCTTCGGAACTCGGGACCCTTTCCCCACGGCCAGATTTTCATTGTGAGCTGTTTTTTGACGGTCCCGGGGCCAGGCGAGGGCCCCCGGAGGCAGAAAAATGCTAAAGACTTCCCGTTGTGATTACTTCACCAGCCGCGAGCTGTACAGACGTGCTGCTCCCAGACATCCGATGCCTTGATTCTACGCGGTCCCCTGAAGCCCCGACCCTCTCCCCGGAGCCAGCTTCTCATCCCGAGCCAGTTTTTGATTGTCCCGAAGCCCGGCGGGGGCCGACGGAGGCCGAAAGCGACGAAAAACCTCCGCTCTGATTTCGCTCACACCGCGAGCGCGTCTGAGTCTCTCTCGGTCTCGATCGGCTCTACAAGCACTGCTCGTCTCGGCTCCTGCGCGGGTGATCGCAGCGCGCTGTTCAGGAGGGCCTCGGCACTCCTCAGTTTGGGGGCATTCCTTGGCGCTTTCGCGTGCGCCTGCATGCCCAGCTGACTGATTCTGCGTTCAACTCTCCTACGCCAGTGATTAACAACTTGGCATCGTTCGGACAGGAACCATCGCCCACCCGGACAACGCTGCGGGGGAAGTTTGCAACGAGGGTAAGAACAACTGCCGCTCACGTCGGAAGCAAGGGTCTGTACAACCAAGATCATCTTGCCAACAGGCGCAGGCGAGTTGGACGCTCAGATGAAGGGGCACGTTTGCAAACGTTCGGCCGTCGCCAGATCCTCAAATCTCCGCGGAGGTCGAACTGGAGCTCTTACCACGGCCCCGCGGCCTGCTGTGCGCAGACATTCGATGTCTAGATGTTTTCCCCCTGACAGCTTGCTGAACGGGGAGATGTTGTAATAAGAGATATGTTCAAAAAATCTCCTGGTCCAGGCCGTTTCGCCTGAGAAATCCTGACAATTCTCGTTTCTGAGTTGCCCAAAATTAGCCCTTTCGCCTGACACATCTTCGAACATCTGGGCTCCGGGACGCCGCGCGCGAGGTGGTCCGGGCCGTTTCTCGTCTGAGACTTCTCGAAACTCTCAGCTCCGAGATGCCGTGCGGAAGGTGGTCCGGGCCGTTTCGCCTCAGACATCCTCGAAAATCTGGGCTCCGGGACGCCGCGCGCGAGGTGGTCCAGTCCAGGCCGTCTCGCCTGAGACACCCCCTCGAAGCTTTAAGCCCCAAAATGCTGCGCGCGAGGTGGTCCCGCCTGCTTCGCCTGAGACATCCTCGCAACTCTGGCCTCCGAGATGCCGCGCAAGATGTGAGCTGGCCCGTTTCGTTTGAGACATCCTCGCAACTCGGGGCTCCGAGATGCTGCGGGCGAGGTGGTCTGGCCCGTTTCGCCTGAGACAGCCTCGCAACTCTGAACTCCGAGCTGCCGCGCGCGAGATGTTCTGGCGCCTTTCGCTAGAGACATCCTGGCACCCTTCAGCTCCGAGATGCTGCGAGAGAGGTGGTCCAGCTCGTTTCGCCTGAGACATCCTTGCCACTCTGAGCTCTGAGAAAATGTGCGCAAGGGTCTGTGACCCGTTTCGCTTGAGATACTTATCCTTCCAATTCGGGGCTCCGAGAAGCTGCGGGCGAGGTGGTCTGGCCCATTTCGCCTGAGACATCCTCAAAACTCTAGGCTCCAACAAAGAGGAGAAAGGAGGGACGAGGGATCAGACCCAAACGAGCCATTTGATGACATTTCTGTTGTGAAAATGTGCTCTGGGAGGGGTCTGGGCGCCGCCTGAGACATCCTTGGAACTCTGAGATCCCGGATGTCGCACGCGAGTGGGCCCAGCCGTTTCGCTTGAGACATTCTCGCAACTTGGGGCTCCCGTCCTCGAAACTCTGGGCTCCGAGAGGGAGGAGAAGGAGTCAGACCCAAACGAATCATGTGATTGCGCATATGTGGTCGAACTGCGCTTTGGGAAGGGTCTGGGCGCCGCTGGAGACATCCTCGCAACTCTGAGCTCCGGGACGCCGCGCGCGAGGTGGTCTGGCCCGTTTCGTCTGAGACATCCTCGCAACTCTGAGCTCCGAGATGCTGCGCGCGAGGTGGTCTGGCGCGTCTCGCCTGATACATCCTCGCCACTCCTGGCTCCTTGAAGAGGTGCGCGCGGTGGCCCAGCTCGTTTCGCCTGAGACATCCTCGCAAGTCTGGGCTCTCAGAAAATGTGCGCGAGGTGGTCTGGCGCGTGTCTCTTGAGACATCCAAGCAACTGGGTTTCGAAATGCCGCGCCAGATATGGTCTGGCCAGTCTCGCTTGAGACGTCCGCGAAACTCTGGGCTCCGAGAGGGAGGAGAAAGGAGCGAGGAGTGGTCAAACCCAAACAAACCATTTGACTCCACTTCTGTTGTCAAACTGCGTTCTGGGAGAAGTCTGGGCGCCCCTGAGCGCGGCGGGCAGGGAGGAGGCAGGACGGGGAAGGAGAAAAGGAGGAGGACAGAGCTTCGAGATGCTGCGCGAGAACCATAATGGAGCATGGAAACAGAACCAGGCTCAAACGATACCTGATTGAGGGCCTCCCTGACGAGGGTGCCTCCTGGAAGCGGCATCGAGAGTGCGAGGGGATCCCTGGCATGGCGGTGGAAGCGGGGGAGAGGAGGAATTAGGAGGAGGAGGAGGAGCAGGAGGAGGAGGAGGAGGAGCAGGAGGAACATGAGGAAGAGGAGGAGAAGGAAGACGAGGTCGACAAGGACGGGGAGGACGAGGAGGGGGGGAGGAGGAGGAGGAGGAGGAGGAGGAGGAGGAGGAGAGGAGGAGGAGGAGGAGGAAGCAGGAGGAGGAGGAGGAGGAAGCGAGGAGGAGGAGGAGGAGGAGGAGGAGGAGACGAGGAGCAGCAGCATAACGAGGAGGAGGCGCGTACGAGGAGGAGGAGCGGAGGGAGGAGGAGGAGGAGGGAGAGGAAGAGGAGGAGCACTGCGAAGCGGAGGAGGACGAGGAGGACGAGGAGGAGTACGATGAATACAACGAGGAACACGGCGAGCAGGAGGAGGAGCAGGAGGAGAAACATAAGGAGGAGGTCGATGACGAGGTAGAGGATGGAGAGGAGGAAGAGGAGGAGGAGGAGGAGGAGAAGGAGGAGGAAGAGGAGGAGGAGCAGGAGGAGGCGGAGGATGAAAAGGACGAGGAGGAATAGCACCAGGAGCGAGGATTTCGCAGGAGGAGGGGGACAAGGAGGAGTGATAGTAGGAGATATAGGAGAAGGAGGGGAGGAGGCGGAGGAAGAGGGGGAGGAGGCAGAGGAGGATGATGAGGAGGCAGATGGGAGGCAGAAGAAGAGGGGCAGGAGGAGGAGGAAGAAGAGGAGGAGGATGAGGAGGAGGATGAGGCGGAGGCGGAAGGGGGAGGAGGACGAGGGGGATCAGGATGAGGAGGATGACGATGAGGAGGAGGAGCAGCAACATTCCGAGGAGAAGGAGGAGGAGGGGGAGGAGGAGCGGGAGGAAGAGGGAAGGGGGATGAGGAGGAGGAGGTTTAGTGGAAGGGGAGGGCGAGGGCGAGCAGGAGGATTTCATGGATGTGGAGGAGGAGGAGGAGAACGACGACGACGACGACGAAGACGATCACGAAAAGCTCGACGACGAAGTCGAATGCGCAAGCAGATCAGGAGCAGGAGACCGCGCGAACACTGTGAGAAGCCGCCTTGGTTAAAAAAAACACTGGTTGGGAATACTGGGTTCTGGTTCTGAGCAAAACGGGGGCCAAAAAAATACACCCATGCCATGCCTCCTCCTCCTCCTCCTCCTCCTCCTCCTCCTCCTCCTCCTCCTCCTCCTCCTCCTCCTCCTCCTCCTCCTCCTCCCTGCTTCCCCCGATCCACGCGCAGGAGTGCGCGTGGGGGCGGGGTGGAGGAGAGCCTAAAAAGCAGGGGGGAGGGGGGGAGACGGGCGGACGGGAGGGCGTTTTCTTGCAAGATGAGGTCCCCCGAAAGCCCCGACCCTCTCCACAGCGCCAGCCTCTCTTCCCGAGCTGTCTTTTGACGGAACCCGGGCCTGGCAGCCCTGGCGAGGGCCCCAGGAGGCCGAAAACTACAAGAGAAGCAGCAACCACCCACCGACCCCCTCCCCCCCCAAAGGGAAAAAGAATTCTGTAAGGCGTTGGACATTAGCTGTTGCTTCCAACGAGGTGACCTGAGGCCTTGCTCGCCTTCTCACTTTGTAAGTATCGGCACGGATGCCACGGAGGCGGTGCACAAGAATCCCTGTGTGCATGAACAGGCTTAAGAGGAGGAGGAGGAGGAGGAGCAGGAGGAGGAGGACGACGACGACGCGGAGGAACATGAGAGAGAGTGGGCAACCCTGGCAAGGGAAAGCTCAAAATGCTGGAGATTGTTTTTGTCACTTCCAGTGGCGGTCGTTGACCGGGGGGGGTAAAGGTAACGCTTGGGCGGGTGGGGCATAGTGTGCGCGCGATCACCGGCATGTGTGCAGGGAGTCCAGCCCCCCACACACACACACACACACACACACACACACACACACACACACACACACACACACGAACGATCGCTACCCTTACCACGGGGGGGATAATGACTGGTACGCGCCAGAGACATCGCCGACCCTTCGGCGTGTACGAGTCGCTGTTGTCGTCTTCGTCGTCGTCGTCGTCGTCGTCGTCGTCGTCGTCGTCGTCGTCGTCGTCGTCGTCGTCGTCGTCGTCGTCGGTTGTCCGTCGTCGTCGTCGTCGTCGCCGTCGTCGACATCGTCGTCGCCAGCCCCAAGGAAATCTGGGAACGAACAATGAAAATCCGCCGCACCCGTCGGCGTGTGACAGGAAATTGTCCGTCGCCATCGCCGTCGCTGCCGCCGTCGCGTCGCCGCCTCCATCACTTCCCCTTCTTCCTCTGAGTCCGTCGCCGCTCCCTTCCTTTCTTTGGGCCCTCGTCTTCACGCACGCCAGCCACAGCGAAATACACCAGCCCATCCACAGAGGAATTCAGCAACGTTGTCATTGAGTTGAAGGGAAGCCCCTTCCCTTTGCTCCCTTCCCCGCGGAGGGGGAGGTGGTCCCGGGGGGGGGTCCCAGGAGGGATCCCGGGGGGTGGTCCCGGGGGGTGGTTCCGGGTCAGAATACCAGCCTCCCGCGGGGCGTGTCGGGAGCGCCCTCTCCCTCACATTTCCGTCGAGGGCCGGCGGCCCCCCCTCCCCTCCCCGGTCCCCCCTGTGGACAGGGGGGACAGGGGGGGGTCCCCCTGCAGAGAGAGGGGTCCTGCAGGGGGGTCCCCGGGGAGGTCCCGCCTGTGGTGGGGAAGGGTCGTCCCGAATAAGAATACAGTCCGCCCGGGGTCCAGGGGGAGGGGGCGCCAGCGGGGATCCCAGGAGGAGAGGTCCCGCCTTCAGGGTCGGCGGCACCGGCTACAGGGCCTTCACAACTTGTTGTTCGGGAAAATGTTTGGTGATATCTATAAGTGCATGAAAAAGCTCATGAGGAGGAGGAGGAGGAGGAGGAGGAGGAGGAGGAGGAGGAGAAACAGGAGAGGAAGTGGGCAACCC